TGGTCGAACTCGAGTCAACCAAGTCGTTCGTGAAGTTCTGTGGACTTTGGAACACTTAGACTCGACACTATACTCAAACAAATCATACATGGGAGTTCACATAAATCATAGTAATGATTGACAAAGTCCCACAAACAAGAAACAGAATGCATGCCGATTTACAGTTTTAAACACAAAAATCATATTTCACAATCACTAGCCAATAATCACCAAAATTAAGTTGAACAAGTTGCCCTATGAATTAGACTTTGAAACTTTAACCAAAAATACACTTCCCAATACTTAGAAAAATCACTAAGTTTCAGCCTCCAATTCAAAGTACACGATTTTATAAAATTCAAATACGGCATCAGCAAAAACGAGCATAAAATTCAAAGCCCGAACTAACGAACGAATTAGCACATAAGATTATTATTGGAGAAATCTCAGCAATTAAGAATAAACATATAAAAATCCCAGCAATTTACTCCAAATACACAAATTATGAAAATTCATACAAAGATTCAGCAGTTATCGAGTTTTAATTAAAACCGAACCAATTCCAATTCCAAAAATTCCAATAGTTTTACAACATGCTAGTACACATAAAACAAGCATCTCAGCCAAAAATCAGAATTTTCCAACAACTAACCAATTTATCAAAATTAAAACACTATTCAGAAGAAACCGTAAATGAATTATTTACCCTATCAATATTAATCCAAAAATTCTAAACATTTTACATAGCAACTAAATCTGGCAGATTGACAACATATTAAAATGTCATGAATTTTGGTGCACTACACAATTTATTATGAATTAAACATGAATTTGAACAGAAGTCACTATAATTTTTAAAAATTGTTACAGACCTCAGAAAAATTTGAAATTTTTATACGACCTATATCATTGTCAGAGGGTTATATAGTTCAAATTTCGCACCAATCGGACGAGTACACAATTTATAATAATTTTTCAAAGATTCAGCAGCAATACCCGATTCAAAAATGCCTAAGTGATCAAATACTCAACAAAAACGTCTAAGGCCTTCACCATGAGACCAAAGACTTCAAATGTTCCAATAATCCACAGCCTTAATCATGATTTATGCGCAATACACATGCTTTCATATATAACGAACATAACACGCGATAAAACGATTATATTGCAAACCCTAATATGCAATTCTCCTCAAGGCTTGGTACTTAAACATATACACACATAAAAACAAGAGGGTTTTTAGCCTTGTACCGTTCTCGAGAAAAATAAATGAAACAAGGGGCTGAACGACGGGTACGTGAGTGCCGACGGGGCTCGACAACTACGTTTGGCTCGCCGACGGGAGTGCTCGGTGGCAGCACGTGATCAGCGGCGCTTGGGCAGCGTTGAACGGCTGACCAGTTCACGAGGGGCGACGGAAGAGCTGCTGGACGATGGTGTCGCGATGGTGATGGCGATGGCGATGGCGAAGGGCGACCGTGCGATGGTGGCCGAGAGAAAAGAGAAAAGAGAGCGAGTGATCGAGAGGGAGAGGAGAGAAAAGAGAAGGCGGCTGGAGGGAAAAGAAATTGACGAGGAGAGGAAGAAATCTCTCCAATATATAGAGCTCACTAAGGGTTTGGGTAAGACCCCTTAATCAAGCAACATACCAAAATCAACACCAAGGAAAAAGGGAAAGACTCCACAATTAAGCCAATTACCAAAAATCACAAGGAAGGAAAAGGAAGACTTACCCTAGAAGTAAGCTTGCCAAAAATCAACGCAAGGAGAAAAAAGGAAGGGGCGGCCGGTCCTTGGGCGCGGGTCGCGGGCGCGACTCGGCCAATTGGTTCGACCGGAAGCTCGGTTAATACTACGGGCCCAGTTCGACGAAAATTAGATTAAATTAAATTAAATTAAAATAGTATTTAATAATTATATAAAATATTCACAATTAGTATTTATTATAAATACACATAAGGCACATAAATTTCACTTAGGCAATTAAACAAATAAATATAAAGCAACATATAATGATATTAATGGCAACAATAATAACAATAATAATAATAATAATAATAATAATAATAAAAATAATAATAATAGTAATAATAATAATCCATTTATTCATGAACGAACAGGGCGTTACAGTCTACCCACCTTACAAAGAATTCTGTCCTCGAAATTCGAAAATAAAACTACCAGATTACAAAGGGAATATCAACACAAGGTGTTCGGTACTCCCTCCGAATCTCGGTTTCCCTCTCCCAAGTC